TTTAGCTCCTAAATGGCACAAGGCAGGCCCAGCTCAAAGGAGGAAACTGGTAGTCAACGAGGTGCGAAAGGAGGAGGAGAGGATGAGGTGTATAAAGGCCATTTCCCAGGCCAAGCAGGGAGAATGGATGAGATCATGGGAGAGTGTGGAACAACGCAAGATGGGCTGACAAGACCTTTGGTCAATGGAAGAGAGTAGGATCAGTTTCCTTATCAGGTCAAGTCAAGTCAAGTCACATTTATTTATATAGCGCTTTTCACAATACAGATTGTCTCAAAGCAGCTTCACAGTGATAACATGAAAGTAATACAACACAGATCAATAATATTGTTGAATATTAAAATGTCCCCAACTAAGCAAGCCAAAAGCAAGGCAACAGTGGTAAGGAACCAAAACTCCATCAGGTGATTGAATGGAGAAAAAAAACCTTGGGAGAACCCAGGCTCAGTCGGGGGCCAGTTCTCCTCTGGCCAATGAAGGAACAGTGATTAAACAAATTGGATCGAAACATTAAGGTCAACATATGACGTGCGTCGTGCTCCCATCACCACAGAACCTAAACCTCTGGGTAGAAGAGGATCCCTCTTGTCCTTTGTGATCATCACCTGCCACATTAAGGCACATTTTGACAGGATATAAGGTGGCTCGTTGCCAAGGTGGTTTTACTTGGCGCCGTGACCAAGTAATGCGATGTTTGGCTTTAGGATTGGAACGCAAGCATAACATGAACAATAAGTTGTCTCCTGTTCTAGCAAAATATTACATGCAGAAGACAAAATTATTCCGCCCAACCACCAAGAAAAGGTGCTAAACCAATTCTCACCCAGGACAACTAGAAGCTGCTAGGGACTGGAAGATGCTGGCTGATCTTGATCAACGGCTTATTTTTCCACCTGCGACTGCCACTAACCTACGACCAGATATTGTTTTGTGGTCTGGATAACCACGCATTGTTAACAGTGCCATGGGAGGATGCGGTAGATGAGGCATATGAGAGGAAGAAACTGTGGTATGCTTATCTAACCACTGAAGCAGAACAGCGAGGATGGAGAGTCTAGGTTTATCCAGTGCAAATGGGTAGTTGAGGATTGGTGGAAAACACTACAACCCGGTTCCTCAGAGACGTCGCACAGTAAAGAACTTATCTGAAGCAGCAGAAAGGAGCAGAAACTGGCTGTGGTTGTGAAAGAAAGATTCTACTGGCTGTGTACAGGCCGCCACGCTACGGTTTCGTAGAATTCTTGAAAAACACGAAGAGTCTGTTGATTTATTTGTATAGTTTGCATTGCAATAAATACAGCTATTACGTTCCTGTGTATATTGAGTGAATGAGGGTTAGTGTTTAGGCAGATATTGTGTTTTGCGGTATAGGTAGTACGCCATACGGAACCGTTGCCACTGAACCTTCTTTAAAGAAGACAGTGGGGCTCGACAGCCTTAGTCAAACGGGTTGGCGCGTATGGTTGGTTGAGGAGAGATTGTGAGATTGTGGTTAGGTCACATGTGAACTATGAGGAAGGAGCAACCTCAGCAGCAGGAGGGATGTAAAGGTCAGTAAGCTGGGCTGAGTTGAGTGGGGGGTGGGGGGGGGACCAGCCCGTTCTCATCCTAAGGCGTCATAAACTGACGCTTTTGACAATGCATATACATCCAACGCACATGGCACCCTTTAGCATCAATATGAGATGCAGATATAAATGGGCCAGAACGCGTCTCTTAGTGGTCTAACCCTAACCCTACCCCAGACCTAAATCTACCATAACTGAAGCATGTTATATTGACGCTAAAGGGTGCCATGTGCATTGGATTGTCAATACAATCTATATTACACTATATGATGCAAATACAATCTATAATACACTATATGATGCCCTGGGTTGAGAATGCATTGGATTAACATGGAATTTAACATATTTGGTTTGGTTTTTCCCAAAAATTTAAATGAAAAAAAAAAGGAATTTGGGGGAAAAAACGGAATATGGGAAAAAAATAAACTGATTTCATAGGGCCCTCATGGGCTAGTTGACGAAACACTGAGGACGGAAGGGGTCCACTTGAAGACCTTAGAGACGTCCCCTACTCAGCTCAATAAAGACGGCTGTCGTGCTGGTCCACTGGGGAGACCACACTGTTTGCAGCAGTCGTGTGTGCTGATGCGCCAAGTGCACTGCAGCCGTTAAAGCCGGACAGAAGGAGATTCACATCACCATATGGAAAGAAGCGTAAATGGATGGAGAAGTAGTTTACTGTAAAGCTACGTCTTAGTTTGTGCTTATCTTGGCGAAAGCAGAGCACAAAACAGCATGAAGTTTTAACATCTACTCTCGTGTAATGGGAATCATATAGATAACATTAGTTACCTCTATACTTATTGTTCTTGGTGGGCTGACATAGGCTACTGATTTGTAGATGTGTAACCAGCTAAAATATGTGAAAATGTGTAATAAACGGAGATGTTCCAAATCAGCAGAAATAAGAAAAGCTGGCTACAGAGTTCTATGCCTTGCTTGTAGTATGCACTTGTCTTAAGCCGAAATCCACAGTTAAGTGAATTAAGAGCTGATTTATCAGCAGACACACAAGAAGATTTCCCAGTCTTGGAAGACTTGGAGAACCCCTTTTACTCTCAAATTCATTAACAAACAGCAGACCTTTCAACTAAGCAACAGAATCAATCATCTTCCATTACAGGAGTAGCAGAATGCGAGTGAACTTCAAGAAAACTCGCTGGTAGTGAACACCTGGAGGAGTCCAGAGAATACAAAGGGAGTCTGCAGTGAAAGGCTGCTGATTGCTGCAACTCTTTAAAACCAAGACAGTCTTCAAATCAAAACCATACAGCAGACCTGCTCTTATTTTAGCTGAGTGCCATTAAGAAGTAGTTGGCCTGAAAAAAAATATTCTGTTCAAAGAGCCACTCATGAGATGACCCGGTTCCTTTCTCTCATCTCCCAATCCGGTCATGCCTTCTTGTATGCTCTCTTTGTGTCTTGTCAAGACATTAAGGGCATTCAGCAAGTCACAAAGATCCAATACGGGAGACGCAAAAGACTAAACCTTGTGTGCTTTCTTCGTGTAAAGGCCACATTGACAGATAGCGCTTCACCCACCCCTTTGGTGCGGGAGGTAGATTCCGGCAATTCTCACATGGAAATGGATGTTATGGAAAGGGTGTGAGGATGAAAGAGCTTGCACACTATCCTGTGTTTCCTGTTTTTTTCCCTCTCTCCCTTCCTTGCAATTTTATCAAAGCGTTTCCATGGTATCCAAGAGTGACCTACAAAATTCATAAACTTAAAAAAACAAACCAAAGTGTCTGTGCATTACCGTACTGGTGCTTTAACTTTACAACAGGTGATAAAAAACAACTACTAAAACTAGAGGCACATTACTTGGATACAGTTTTTAAACTTGCAAACTGACCTCTGTCTGTTCGCTAGAGAAACCTCCCTCCCTCCTCCCAAACAAAACTTTATTTGACAACAGATATTACATAAACACATGGAGCAATAGATGGCATTACAAACCCTGTAAAACAAGTTACATAATATTACAGATGAGGCTGAAACTTTCAAACGCAAGACCCTGAACTTAAACAGCCGCCCAAATCTCCTAGGTTTATAATTTTTATGAAAGGTAACGTTAAGCATTTGCCTATAAATGGAAAATAAAAATATATATATACAGCCATGTGTTCATACGGTGTAGTTGTTTTCATTTCAGAGATGGATGAAAAGTTATGTTATTATTCATATTTTGTGTACGCTGTATGAGAAATAAACTTCATGAAGAGTTTGAGAGAGAGAAAAATATACTTTGACAAACTTGCATCGGCTGTACTCGGTGCTAACATGTGCTTGTCTCGCGACCAGCACGCGCTGCACATAAATCTGTACATTTTTAATAATTTCACACTCATAACGTGTCAACCAGGTTAAGATTTGACGAAAGGGCCCGTTAAAAACCGAAAACTCTGTGCAGATATTGGCGGGTACTTCACGTGGATTTAAAGCCCTTCAGGGAGGCGGCAGTGGCAAAGGCTGAACGTCGATTGTTAGCTAGCTAAGCTAACGTGCTAGGTTAACAGTTATCAGATGTTCCAGCTGCCTTTGGTAACACGGGCACAACATGGAGCACTTTATAATATAATTGTAATTCTTCAATAAAATCGGGTAAACATATTTATAAACCAGCTTGCCTTTCAATTGTCCAGCTGTGGGTGCGCTAAAAGTGTTAGCTTAAGCTAAACATCTTGTCGCTAACCGGCTAAACAAGAGAAAAACAGAATGAATGCTACTATTACTTATGTTATGAGTTTAGTGATCTTTACTAATCTAAAACGTCACACGACCTCAGATATATATGTAAACACATCATATAAACGGTGTAGTAAATCACCCAATGTATTTAGAGGGCAACAACAACGTTATCTATCTGCTATGAAGTTACATTTTCACCAAACAAGAGAAAATGGTTAAACATATCAAATCTGTGTCAAATATGTAGAGCAAACAAGCAAAGCAGAGGAAAAGCAAAAGGACAGTTGCTCAAGCTTTTTTATATTTGGGTTGTTTTTTATGCAGCTACAAAACTATACTAAACACTGTATTTAGTATACATCCTATTTCTTGGGTTAAAGTAGTTTAACTGTTACCCAAGTTACAATAACAACAGTTGCGAAATAGAGCATGCGAGTGATTTCTATTATTAAGTGAAACACTACAGTTTAAAATACCATGCAAACCTGCTTCAACAGACCTGATAGGCACTCTGAACAGAAGCACATCTTAAGTAGCGATACATACACTATGATAACAGTTATACACTAGAAAAGGCCATGCAGCCAGCTTCATATGTCCAATAACTGCATGACGTTGTGTATTGAAGCTGATCACATGGCCCTTTACTCCTACAATTTCAGCCTTGCATGGTCAAGTTTGCGTTTCTGCAAAACACTGCGTTTAAACAAGATGTTTTATTAAACAAATGCATGTATTTACCCTGGAAACTGGTGGAAAGACGAACAAAAAAGCTCCTGTGTATAGGAGGTCAGTTAGTTCCCCAAGATATCCAATCCAGAGCCCAGTTACGCTCACCGGTCTCTCCTCTTCTCCTCTCCGGCTTGCACGAAAGAAAAAAGATGAAACGATCCTCTGAAAACGAGTTGAAGTTTTACAAGCACAAACCAAACATTTTCATCCAATGGAATAAAGTAGGAGCGTTACGCGCACCCTTCCAGTCCATGAACCAGGGAGAGCTTTTGTCAATTATTTATCTTCTGAAAAAACTCAAATCCCCCTGTAATCATATGTGACCGATCTGAAGAACGCAAGGGATACGGCACACGACTCCGATGCTTCTCCGTTAAAGCGCGATCGCCTTTATCCAACCGATTCCTGTAACGACTCCCTGTCAACTGATGATGGCGTCACCGTGTCGTCTAGGAACGTCATCCTGTCGCTTTATTAAGACGTAATTACGTTGCCCAATGCCTGTGGAGTGCGGACTGTTAGGGGCCGAAAACATTTTAGATTACAATGGTTTCATTTTAAAACACGATTTTTTGGCAAAACCTCCTGGTAAAAAAAACGACACACAAATATATATTCAAAAGTTACTCTAGTTCTGACAAACAAAACATGTTTTTTAACGCTTAATTTTTTAACATCATAATGTTACTTATTATATTTATATTATATTTTATTTAAAAAATAGCTTATTGATTTATGTTGTGTTGCCTATTTTTTGAAAGAGAATCTGTCAGATTAAATAGCTAGTAATACATATTCAAAAATTACTCTAGTTCTGACAAACAAGACATGTTTTTTAACACTTATTTTTTTAAGGTCATGATGTTATTTATTATATTTATTTTATTCAAAAAAATAGCCTATTGATTTATGTTGTGTTGCATATTTTTCAAAAGAGAATCTGTCAGATTAAATTACTTTACATAGGCCCAGCTCAAAAGTAAAAAAAGCACAACAAATAAACTGTTTTAGCTCGGTTATAACTAACAAAGCAATCTGTGTGTAATCATTAATACATGAATACAGGTCAGCACATTCAAAACCACTGTATCTGCACGCATGGCCCTGATCAACAGGGGTTTAAATCCAAACAGATCAGACAAGACTGGAGAAAGAACAATCTAATGAGTTCCATCTGGTGTTGTTTTCCACCACTGTTACACTAAAAGTGCAGTGGTTCCGCTGGACCGCATGACAGCAGGACTGCTCTTGCGTTTCACTCAAAGGTAAATAATGTTCTTTCATAATCCCATAGTATTTCAGACCTTTGGCATTAGAGAATGAACTCAGATGTAGGACAAAAACAAAGTTCACTTTCTTGAATAAGTGCAGAATGAAATATGTGTAGATAAGATTATTCGTTTATTTAGGTAAGTAAGGTGTTAAATCTATTCCTTCCTATATAGTCTACTGAAATGACCAATTTATTTACTTAGATGCAGTATTATGGTAGGTTACATCAATAAAAATCTATTTTAAATAACTGCTGTTCTTTTTGAACTTTTTATTGATCAAAAATCATGGGGAGAAATTAACGTGGTTTGGACAAAAATATTAAGCCACACAACTGCTTTAAACTGTGATAAAAATAAGAAATGTTATTTAAGCAGCAAATCATCTTATTAGAATGATTTCTGAAGGATCATGTGACACTATTGACTGCTGGAAATTCAGCTTTTAGATCACAGAAATGAATTACATTTTTAAATATATTGATATAGAAAACAGTTATTTAAATTGTATTATTTCACATTATTACTGGTTTTACTTTATTTTTGACCAGATAAAAGCAGCCATGGTGAGCATAAGAGAATTCTCTCAAAAAATATTAAAAATCTTACCGACGGTGTGCATGTAATGAGAACAACACACATGAACAAGTAAGACCAACGATAACAGAAGTTCCTTTTTAATATATAAATATATATTTTAAAAAAAAAACATATAGGAAACGTGTTGGTGTTTTCTCAAGAACTAGTGATTTATATAGCAATATTCAAATTGTAAACATACACTTGCAATACTACATAATGTACAAAAAAATACATCAATTGTAAAAAAAATCTGCAAAAGGTTAAAAGAATAAAATCTTTATAATTTAAATGGAATGGTGAAATGCATCTAAATATTTGAAGTTCTGTGTCAAAATCATTACGATACAAACAAAACAAATTTTTTATGATTCTGCTGTACTCCATCAAAAAGTAGAGACAAAAAAATATCAAAATATCAAAATTACACAGAGGATCATGCAACTTTCAGTAGAACAGTTGTATCCCGTTCAGTGCAACAGACAGAAAAAAACCCATTTGTGTTCATTTCCTTTTTTAGTGCTGTCAAATTGATTAATTGTGATTAATCATATTTAACATGAAAGTTTGTAAATATATACTGTGTGTGTGTGTGTGTGTGTGTGTGTGTGTGTGTGTGTGTGTGTTTATGCATAAACACACACATATGAAGAGTTCATATGAAGTTCCATCTGAAATTTTCTTCTAGAATGATCATTTTTTTATCAAGGTTGTATATTTAAGTTCAGTAATTTCACTTAAATGACAATAAAAACTACCTATTAATTGTAATTTAAGTGAAATAATTGAACTTACAGTATATATCTACTAGCTTGACAAAAATGATCATTCTAGAAGAAAATTTCAGATGGCACTAAGAGGCTTTTGCATCTGAACTCTTCAAATGTGTGTGTGTGTATATATATATATATATATATATATACACAAACTTAGATACAATTAATCGCAATTAATCGTTTTGACCGTACTAGATTTTTCTCATCCAAACACCAATGTTCTTCCCACAGCATATGTTATGAAACATCTTAAAGCATTTCCCTTATAAGGAACCAATTGTACCTAAGTATCCCTCAACTGTGCAACATTGGATATGAGGACACCTGAGGACGCTGCTGAAAACAGCATCAGGTCCAAAGCAGGTAGCCTACCTGTAAAACAATTGAGGGGAAAAAAATAGATTAATACAACTATGTACCAAACTACAATGACTGTTGCTGTAGACATTTGTGGACAAATGTATATACTTTTGTGCATTTGTATATTGTACAGTCTTCAACAATGAAGTCAGCATGAAATTGAAGATTGTCTGTTCTTCCTTATTTTGAGATATATCAGAGTGAAACAGATTCTCAAAAAAAAAAAAAAAAAAATAGGATGGGACTTGATTTTGTCCATAGAGAGTTGATTGGTTTGTATTCCTGTGATGTCATGGGATTTACAGAACAGGTTGTCCCGCCCTCGCACCAGTGAACACATCATCCGAGAAGGGAAGTGATGTCACTGCAAGACAGTCTTTTTGATGAAAGGAATTGCAAAAAAAAAAAAAGTGTCCCCGGTTAAATCATTTATAATAATAAATATCATGGTGACTATAAAAATTTCGGTTTCAAGATCAGATCAGTTTTCTTTTGAACTCAATTCAGCGTAAACAGCTGTGCCCTTACTCCTGTGCTGAGGTGGCCTCAGATATTATCCGTTTATGTTTATATAAACATTAATATGTCATTCTTGACATCACCTAGCCTTTGTGTAGCTTGCTCCCCCATAGCGCTTGATACCAATCCGATCCTGGGAAAAACACAGTCTGCATGACGTAAGCTTACATTCCTGGCTTGTGGACTCTGGCCCTCTGGTGTTCCCAGGGAGAGCGAGACAGAGAGTACGCAAGAGGGGGGGGAAAAGAGGCCCTCCTCATCTCTGGCCCGGTCTGAGCCGTGCTTCCACGCATGCCTGCTGTAATGACTACCAGATGTCCATGCTGGCAGCACCGACCCGGGGGTCAGCGGTCACAGCTATTCTGTTCCTTATATGCAGCCTCATCAAAACAAACTTGACAGAATGACATAGTCTGTGTTTGTGTCTGCATTAAGCAAGTGAATGTCGTCGGGTGTTTGTGTAAGTGCCGTTCGCACCCCTGCGCTGATTACATGGAGGTCAACAGACAATGCTGCTGTTTATTATTCTGTTAGACTGCCACTTCAAAACTATTTGACAATCTAGTCACGTGACAAGTCAATGGTATCACTAAAAGTGGTTTAGAAGAAGTTTTAGAAAAAACAACACTGTAAAAAAAACTTGCTACCTTAAAGTTTTAAGTACAATCAACTTGGCTGTGTATGCCATTTACTTATATTGCATTAAACTGACTTTAAAAAATGAGCTGAATCTTATATAACTTAAAAAATTAAGTTTAAAATGGCGTCACTTGAAGAAAGTTAAATATGTTGTCATGACTTTGATCATGTCATTATTTTACAGTGAATGGGTGTTCATTTCAAGTATAGGGATGCACAAACTTGATGCCACAATGTAGAGGCCTACTTTTATTAGGTTTTGATTCATTAATTAAATAATTTAATTGTGATTTATATCAAATAAATGCTGTTCTTTTTAACCTTATATTCATCAATGAATCCGAAAAAAAAGGTGTCATGGTTTCCATAAAAAAAATATTAAGCAGCTGTTTTCAACATTGATAATAAGAAATGTTTTTGAGCATTACATCATATTAGAATGATTTCTGAAGGATCATGTGACATTGTGGCCTAGTGACATTAAGACTAGGTTAATAGCTGATAATAATAATAATTATAATTTTCAAATTTATTGAGTTCCAAAAATGTGAACTGAAAAACCTTTTGGTTACACTTAATTTTGATTGTCCACTTTAGGCATTTTGCTAAATGGTAATTAACAATGTCAACTAACTTTCATTAAAGTATTAGTAGACTAGTAGCTGTTATATATAGACTGGTAGGTTAGGTGTTAGGGTTCGGATTAGTAGAATATGTAGAATATGTTGACATACTTAGCAGACAGTCTACTAACACTAGGGTAGTAGAATCTTTAAAGTGGAACATAAAAATAACCATATATATATATATATATATATATATATATATATATATATATATATATATATATATACTGAAAGAAATCCATAAACAATTTACGGTTATGGTTATTTTTCCAATGTTGTCTCTTGATTTGTTTGTTTGTATTATATGCTTTATATAAAGTATGCATTTCATTTATTTTTCTGTACATCACTTTGGTCCACTTCAGTTGTTTTAAAGTGCTTTACAAATAAAGTTTGATTTATTGATGATTTACAATAAGGTTTTATTTGTTAACATTAGTTTACATTAGTTACAATGAACAATACTTTGACAGAATTGATTAATCTTAGACAGTGTTAATCTGAACATTTACTAATAATTTTTTAAGATCCAAAGTCCAATCTGTTTACATTAGTTAAAGGAGTAGGTCACTTTTGAAAAAACTTTTGCTGATAATTTACTCACCCCCATGTCATCCAAGATGTCCATGTCTTTCTTTCTTC